CATGAATTCGCAACGCTCCGATGATCTATGCTGCTAGTGAGGTGTCCCGCAGATTCGAGAGAAAAGATTTTAGAAAGGAGCCAAGAATACGTGTCTCCTGTCTCTGGCTGTTTTGACACTCGATTTTCTTTTTCTTCTGTTTGATGCGATATTCTTTTTTTGGGGTGTATTTTTAGATCTACATCAAAAGCTCCTATGTATCGGCCTCATAGGCCCCAGAAGCGTAGGGTCAATTTGACCCGGCTTGAGATTCTTAGGAGTAGTCGTCCAAAACAAATAAGAGAGAAAAAAATAAAAAAATTGAATAACCCAAATTTGATTTCTTCTTTTGTATTTCTATTTGATGTTTAATTCTTTTTTATACGATACATTTGTAGACCTATATCTATAGCTCGTATGTACCGGCCCCCTATATAACCCGCGGACCACGTTGGACCACGTTTTTTTTAACAAGTCTTCGGTCAATTTAGGGGTCAATAAAGGAAATCGTATAGCTATATCTAAACCTAACTCAAAATGAAATTGTCAAGAAAATCTACCCTCACACCGTTTGAAGTTGAAATTTTGAGCTGATACTGATAATCGTACATATCCCTTGAGTATTGTACAGCATTGAGTATTGAAAAATAATTATTTTTCACCTTACTCACTAATTTTGGCCCCTATAGAAAATTCATCCACAAACAATATAGCGCAATTATTTGAAAGCGCATCTCGAACCGTCGACATAAGAATCCCCCGTATGCATTGACAATAGCCTATCTCCTATACCTCCGAAACGCGGCTGAAATATGAAACCAAGGGAAGAGAGTTAAGAGCACAAGTAGAAAATCGAACGGAGCATAACTTCAGTTTCGAAGAGAATTAAATTTAAGATGGCGAACTGCCGATGCAGCACAGCCACATCCAACTTGGAGCACGATGAAGAGGAGCCAAATATGGGGGTAAGTTACCACAAGCACAAAAGATCCGGTACTCATTGCAGAAAATTGAGCTATTTCTGCTCAATTTCGAGCAACACCGAGCTGAGCATCCTCACGTGTTCCGACTGCTCCACGTTCCTAACCTCTTTACGAACGCGGGCGCAGAACGTGCGTGGAGCCCGAAACAGCGTGGTATGGCTGCTCAGGAATAAGTACGATGTTTCCTGTTTCAATTAAAGAAGAAGTAAAGGACTTCGCCAACGCTCCCGCCTTATTTCGATGCAGCACAACAGCTGGAGCTCTGAGTGATTTTGTGCGACCAACTTCCACGTTGCCACTCTCAGAGTTGCGACTCACTTCGCAGTGAGGGATTTTTCGACGGGATAGAATACATTTGAATCGAGTTCAATAGCAAGAGATCAAGGGATTTTTCTTCTTTCTTGCAAAGAAGTGGTTTATCTGAACTTTAACTCTAACTCTCAAAACTTTAGATTTTAATTTCAATAAAGGATGAGAGCTCTTTCTGTTCGAATCCAAGAAAAATAAGTCACGTTTGCTCTAAAAACATTATTTTTGTTCTCAATGACTCCTCTCTTCTGCATCAGAAAGAAACCAAGTCAATCTGAGATGAGGGAGCTAGGTCACTGCAGTAGATTCCATCCTCCATCTCAGATTTTTTATTGGTGCAATCAACTCAGCACACCAATAACCACATCCCTACCGGCCGACCAACAAGCACATACTATGATTGCCAAAAAATATAGCCCCTCTCCATTCTACTCGATCCATTCCCTTTTTTTACTTTCATTTTTTCAGAAGAAATATTTTTTATTTATTCTATTTGTTCATCTTTTCTGCTGCTTCACTTCACCGACATCAAAAATATCGGGACCGAAGCAAAAGGACAGGCCTTGCTTCAATATTCGGGGGTTCAAATGGTTGTATGATAATACCAGAGGGCTAAATCCCTTAGCCACAAGACGACCCATAACACCAAAGAGTGCCTCGCACCTCCTCGGATCTGTTTTGCGAGCCTCTAGGCTGAAAAGAGCCAGCTCATCCAGGAAATATATCCTATCAAAAGCAGCAAAAATAATAAAAATCAGCACAATAGACCGTTCGTATATACTGTGACAATAGAATGATTATGTGAAGTTCAAATTGCGCGTCTCAGGATAGGTCACACTTTAATCAGTCACAATCATATCATCTCCAAAGAAAATAAACCCATCTGTTCTGTAACTTCTGCAATTTATCACCTCTAACAGTCAAACACGTGCTTACACGTGGACTACTCTGCCCTCAGAGATCTACAATCACAGATCTACTCACCTACAAGCAACAGAAATACAAATCGACTTACATGCGATGCGCCTAATAAACCTACCAAAATTCTAAAACTCTTCGCCTCTCTTAATATAAAAATCTAAATTTTCGTATTTACACCCATTTTCAAAATTCTCTGTAAAGACGTTAACAGCCTGTGACGCTGAAAGTCTTAAAATATACTAACTAACTAACTAACTAACTAACTATATTTTTAAAAATTTACATTATCGTTTAAATGAGAGAATTCACAACTTTATCACGAAATATAGAAAACCTGGATCGCATTTCTATAATCTGAATAGAACGCGGGCTCATGTAGGGTCTATCACCTGTCGATAAACACAGGTAACATGGGAATCGGGCCCAGAAGAACGGTAGAGCGAACTGTGACAAAAAATAGAAATGTAGGGTCAGAGAGCCCTCAGTAATGATTCACCTCGGAACCAATATGTACATTTGCTAGTTTTCAACTGAATTTCCCTTACCTGCCTGTATGCTGGAAGCACTCGGTTATTGCTACTTATTCGTCAAATCACAGAGAGGTCGCTATGCACCAATTTGATCTCAAAATAACTCATAGAATATGAGCTGCGACAAAACTATAAAGGAGAGTACTCTTATAGCACAGGTAATATCTACACGAAAAGGTAACGAGAGAGAGGCAAATATCCTGAGAGTGAATTCTCTGTTGACAAAAATGAAATACAGCTGCGTCCTTTGAAAGGGAAATTTTCTGAGCGACGAATAAAATTTCAGCTGGGAGTTGAATCATAAATCTGGGGGGAGGAGGAAAGTACGAGACATGAGAATATAATGGGTAGAGAATTATTCGATTGATTCTAGACAGTGCAGCGCGCGGCGTTCCCAGGATTTGTCAAACTGCACCAAGGTTGCCGTCACGTGCACTTTTGCACTATCTCAGCACTGCATTTGGACGTATTCCTATCAAACGGAACTATGTGCATTAAGACATGAGCCCCGTTATGCATGCATTCTTACGGGTCTCAGGGTTCATGTCCTAATGCACATAGTTCCGTTCGATAGAAATACGTGCATTTATGAGATTCATGTGGCGGGAAATTTTTTCGGAGAAATTTCACGGCACAATCGGAAGTCCCTCAGTCATACTTCGGAAAAATAAATCGCAAAAATGGAAAAGCCTAGAGAATCAAAATTATTACTCTTACATTTCAAATGGTTCATTTACTGTCATTACAGCACCCAATCGTTGCAATGTAATAGAACCAATATTTAATATAAATAAAAAGCTACCTTTTATTTCGAATTTTTCATATTAGCCCTCTATAGCATGAATTAAGTTTAAGTTAAGGGGACACAATGCCCCCAATTTTTGCTCGAAATTTTGGTGATCATTTTTTCAAAAATGAAAAGATTGAAGAAAATTTGCAACATCATGTCTCAGTAAAATAGTCCCATTTTTAATAAAAAACAACAAAAAACTGCTTTATTACGCACAAGTAACAGCATGTCATAGAGGGTTAAGTCCATGAGAAAATTCTTCCGCGAAGGTGTCACGTCAAAATCTACTAATCTTAGATTCGAATTCCTCTTTGAAAACCATTGGAGAATCATGTATCACACATCACAGTATCACAAGGGGGACACACGTCTATTGGTCCCGTAGGTTTGACGTGAAAGGTCACTCAGTGCACCAAAAAAAGTCAGGAAAGGGCCAGGAGTGGAACAGATAACGGAGAAATCAAATCTCGAAAACTAAAATGTAAATCTCTAAGCGCCGGCGCTTTCGTAAATTCCTTAGCGATTGTGGATTGACACAAAGGAATTGGAGGTATTACCAGATAGACTGGTAGGGGACGCGCGATGGTCCTTCTATGAAAAAAGCAGGAAGAAGAGGGGAAAACCTCGGCGTGTGGATCACTAGTGTGCCGCCAGAGAGCGCTAATCGCCAGAGAGTAAATGCAATTGCATATTATTTTCTATTTGATAATGATTTAGGTTCAGTTTATGGCTGATCGTATTAAACTTCTGAAAAGTTTCATTATTCTAAGGTAAGTCTGTTAATTATTATACTTGCCAGCGGAAGAAAAATACTTTCTTTTGGGAGGTGTTCAACATTACATAAAACAGACAGAAAGGGAGAAATCAGGGACAGAACTTTTCGATAGTGACTGATCTCTGCTTTTATCCTTTTCCCAGAATTTGTTAAAAGTCCAGCAAATGCTCACAAACCTAGTGAAAAAAGAATCATCCTATCATTTTAAAATATACAAACAGCGAAACTAATCTACATTTTTTTTTTTTTAGAAAATATGATTAAACTTATGTGTTGACGAGAACCTGCCATCAGAGACCCACAGAACAGATAAATTGACCTAATAGTAAAAAATGATACAATTTTACAAAGATCAATATTTGATACAATAAATGAGAGTCACTAAAAGCAAAATATGACAACGCTGCGAGAAAAATTAAAGCGAGCTATGTATTAAATATTGAGAACTTTTTGATGAGCAAGAATGAAAATCTTCATGAGGCTCATTGACATTCATTCTGCAGGTTCACAGCAATATTTATGTAAGTTCGCCATTCATCCATTCAACGAAACAATGAGTTTTTATCCACATTTTCCACTCGCTTCCGGCTGAAGTTCCAGCCATTGAGTTAACGAATTAATTCTGACTAACTGTCTACATGAAGCGTTTGATGAATGATGATGAGAAGAAGCTATCGCAAGGACATTTTGCTTATCAAGATTGGGCAATTTACCTTAGAATTAGGCCTCTGGACGGCCCGTGAGAGCATAAGTGCCGTTATTGATCCCGAAGACCGGGCCTATAATCAAAGAAAAGACATCATGTAATTCCGTTGCCGAGACAGATTTTTAGCCATATTCTAGTTCCAGCGTCGGTTATATACATGAATTTGTACATTATGTCTAGATCCGCTGAAAATAGTTCGTAAAGAAGTTTTCCTCGTGTGTAATTGAAAAAGTTAAAATATATTTTTTCTTATTACAAAGAAAGGGAGTAAATCTAATCGGTTGAAGCGATATTGAGTTTTCCTCCTGGAGAAACGTTCGTTTCGTTTCGTTTGGAGAAACGAAAGATAATATTATGCCACACCTGCCAATGGTTATTATAAATCTTTAATGGGTTTTCCAAAACTAACTCGATTTCGAGATCATTACGTGGATTGTAATGAATGTCCATCGCCCAAGAAATCAGAAAATACTTACCGTTTTTTTTTTTATCGACATTTTTGTTACAATTGGCGTATTGATGACTAATGTCCAAAAATGGGTACCTTTGATGCGACTTTTAAAAAATGTCCTTCCATGCTTAATTTTTAAGTAATTTTCTAAAATATTTTCGAATACGTGAAGAGAATCCACTGAGTTTTTTAAGTAAAGCTGCTCGTCAGTGGTTCAAGGATCAAAAGTCATACATCCTACGCCTGATATCACTTCAAGTAAAAATGAACGCTGCTGCAAAGAACCCTAGTCGCAGTTGAGCAACATTTCGTTGGTTTTTGGTAGAAATATTCATATATTTTTTTTCTCAAATGTGACAATATTTGTTCGAATCGGCAATTATGTTAACAGGAGCCCTCGTGTGGAGTCAGGTGAAAGGGCAAAATGAAAAACGGGACAAAATAAAAAAGGAAGGAGACAGTAATAAATGTTCATCATTCAATGTTGACAATTGCAACAAAGGAGAAAAGGAAACAAATTGCGGTATATTAACTTGAGGATTTTGATTCCGTATACCTCGTGCAATAATCTCGGCTCTTCGACTGCGCTCGGTCCCCACCGATACTTACGCTTGGCTCTCATACTACACAGAAAATGTTGTTATTATTATATATGTGCTCTTAGACTCCCCATGAATTTATTTTTTGTAATATTCAGTTAAGAGACCTGCCACGCCGCTTTTCATGATTTTTTCTTTCATTGATAGATGATAGCCTCTAGATGAGCCTACTTTCTTTGAATCGAATAGATGTGACCCAGGTTTTTTTTTTTTTTTTTTTTTTTTTTTTTTTTTTTATGCAATGAAGTTGGAAATTTTAAGACAACTCTTTCTCCTGAAATAAGTTTCTAGAGAGTCGATTGTAATGAGTTTTGGACAGGCGATTGACAAGCTAAAAAAATAGATTGAAAATCAAATTAGCTGCCTCTCAGTTCCTCGAACGGGAACGGAGAATGTCAGCTAAAATTTATTTTCCCGGGAAATTTGACGGGAAAAAACGCACTCATGGGTTACGTAAACCTACAGCAATCGCTCACATTTTGAAGAGCTGCTAGGAGTGTTCCCGGAAAAATTCCCATGGATTTTTAATCCCCATAATGGGCCTGTCACATCTTCTACTTAATCAACACTTTTCAAGGATTTCCTTCATAATTTCCGTCACTGGAAAACCGTCAAGCATTACACAGTTAATAATTTTCGTGTTTAGTGTTACTTTTTTGTGTCAGATCAACCCAAAGGATTTGGTTACTCGACACAATTTTTGTTAAATCGACCCAAAATGTAGATCATTCCGAGACATCGAAGCATGACGTAAGCGTCCTAGGTAACTCATGTGCCCTTATTTTCCTCATTGGTGTACCCCCCATACGATCCAAGTTCAATCCTGGGGACCGGAGCTGATTTTCAACGAGATTGCGAATTTTCAACCCAAAAATATGGTCATTTCAACCTGAGGATTCGGTTGATTTGACACAGGAAAAACTAATAAAAAAAAAAAAAAAAAAAAAAAAACCAACAGCTCGTGTGTGCCATTATTAGCCAAAATTGTGTCGTCCTATATTAACACACAATTTTGGTAGCGCGATCGGGCGTACCCCCTAGAAATATTAATTTCTTTTCATTAGTTTCATTTATTTCATTTTTCATCATTAATTTTCTTTCATTTCTTTTTTCTTTCTTTGTGCGGGACGAAAATTGAGATTTTTCAACTCCGATCCGTTCTTTCACAACGCGTTTGTCGGAATAGAATGTGCCTAGTTTGTAAGGAATCCATTTGAGAATTAAGTGGTCAACCGAGCAACTTGGCAACCGCGGCTGTGGGCTTAAAATTGCATCAAACGCGGCTACAGATCGCCGTCCAGTAGTTACGCCTGAACCACTTTCTTCCGGCTAATAGTCGTTGCGTTTTCATTTTTTGTTCCCACCCCTTCACCCTCCGCCTCCTACCGCTCTTGCCCTTTTTCTGAGGAAGGAAAGCTCCTCTCAAGCTATGAGTGCTAACGGTGGGGCGGTTTGTCTTATCTATCTACTGCCGCGCGGCCCTCGCCTCTCGGTTTCTTTCATGGAAAAAGAGGGAAGAAAAAAAATCCAAACCTGGGCATCGGGTAAAAAAGAGGAGAGATAAAAAGTCGGAATGAAATCAAAGCGACTGTGGACCGCTATCTCAAGAAAATTCTTTCTTACTTTTCGCAATCAGTAAGCCGCATCCGTTGTCAATTTTATTCAATTTATTTACTTTTTATACCTTTCTACACCGTCGAAAAAGGTAAATAGGCGTTAGTTGCTACGTTTAATAAATGTAGAATAAATTCATTCTTGCTTCCCAGGTTCTCTAGGCACACTTAACCAACAACGCCTAATTGTTAAATTTCACTGAAAAAAATAATATACTTTTTCAGCGCTAAGGATGTTAAAAATGCGTCTGGTGATCCCAAGATGCTGCCTTTATTGCCCCCGCAGTTAACTTTACATCCTGTGAATGCAAATCCAACGGCGTGGGCAATCAAGTCAGCATCATAGAATCATGGCCGGATTTACCTACTTGCCGCCCATGGGCCGCCTGTATTTTGCCGCCCTCTTCTCATTCATTTTGAAGCATTAATAAAAACCATCAAGTGAACGTGCCGGAAGGAGAAGGGTGCATGAGACGCGTTCACTCGTGTTGGACACATTTTTTGCGTAAGCCGTGTCAACACTACTAGCAAAAGTTCACGGAACTTCGCGCGAAACTTCAGTTCCGTAAACCTATCTCTGTGTGGACAAGGTCATTTGTAAGAAATGAACTAAAAAATTAAGAAAGAACAAACATAAATGTGGTTTAATAATTTTAACTTCCGCCGCCGCGCCGTGCCGCGCTGACCACACTGTGTTTGGCGCAATGCGTGAAGTATTCGTGTAGTCTTGTAGGCGCTGTGCGTTTCACGCCGCGCCGATCGCTGTTGACCGTACTGTGTTTGACGCAATGCGTGAAGTATTTATGCAGTTTCGTAGGCGCTAATATGTGTTACATGCCGACCGCCGCGTCGAGAGCTTCTCCTTTTCATCTCAAGTCTTCGTCATCATTTCTCTCTGCACCGCGCCGCTCCAGGCCAAATTAGGTGTTTGGTTTCTTTCTTAACTCAACTAATTAAAGGTGCGCAGTCTTTTGTATCACCGAAATACAGCAAAATTAGAAATTAATGAACTCTCAGGAAATGAGAGATTTTGTCACCTTTTCTTGTTTGTAAATTTATTCTGAATCCGATTTTTTTGTACCTGCATTTAAAAAAATTGCAAAATTTGCCGCCCCCTAATTTTGCCGCCATGGGCCGCGGCCCATGTAGCCACCCCCTTAATCCGGCCCTGCATAGAATCACTAGACACACTTTGGACATCGTAGGTGCTAAAACAGCATATCATCTTTTTCCAAGTTACTGAAAAAGGATGAACCCAACATGTTAATCGTAAAATTGACGCATCACATCTCCCCCACTTCCCCCTTACCGCGGAATTTGGTAATTTTCACCAGTTTTCCCTTAAGCATACCTACAAAAGTTTTATCAAGAACTGAACATTCATACTTCAGACCCAAGACGTAGAATTTTGTATGCGGATATATGCCTTGTACCTGCTTTTCAACCGGTTCCTCAGCAGTCAGTCGGTTAAGTCCCGTGGACCTCAAATAGTGTTCCAAGTGCTCAATTTTAAAATGTTTTCGAAACTTCTCATTTAACATTCTTGAATCTACTGGACCATTAAGCCAACTCTACGGGTTAAAAAGTAAAAACATAAGATCAATTTCTCATTGCAAATTCTTTAAAAAAAAGGGAGGAAAAGAGTCTGATGTTTTTTTCAGTCTGAACATCGTCTACTTTCAAGCGAACGGTGAAAACTAACTATTTGATTCCAAAACATCTGCTGCCTGTGAAAGTATATTTAATGCAAGGTTTGGAAGTTGTTGTTTTTTCAAAAGTGGAAGTTTTTGGGTTTACTTTTGGCGCACTCGAAAAAAAACACATTGGATCTTGAGTCTAGACTCTTAAAAACATCGACAAGAAAAAATACCCTTGATTCAATCAGATTTCAGCTTAAATCAAGAACCAAGCCTCTTAAATTTGAGCGGATTTCCTTTTGATTTCACCTTAGATCTGCTTGAATCGAGAGACCCTTTTCTTGTCAATGTTTTCAAGAGTCTGAACTCTAGATCCAATGTGTTTTTTTTTCCAGTGCGATTACAGGTATTCCATCCCCTTGCCTCTACGGATAAAGTACCGATCACGAGACAGTTTCAGACTATGCATGATTTCTTCGGATTTTTGCTGTAAGTATGGCAGTTTTCAGCCGAGATGCCCTCCTCCCCTCCTCCCTTCCTCCCACTCTCTCAACTTCCTCCACTCATAGCATTCCATTTCCCTCGTTTCCTCGATTTGGATTCCTCCCAAATAGCTTTGCTCTTACGATGGTTGAACGAGCTCACCAGCTCTGATAGCGCGCCAGATTCTTCTTTTCTTTTTTTTTTGGACTCGCTACGCCCTCTTTGCAGCAACTTCCCTCTTGCCTTTTACCTTTCCAGAGAATAGAATCTTGGGGTGTTTGAATATTCGA